TGGAGACTGCTCCTTATTCTGGAGCTTTGGACTAGGCGAGGGGGTGGGACTTCAGACATTCGGCCGCGCTAGGCGCCCCCAGACAGGTGAACGGGCAGGCAGGCGCCAGCACGGCACTGGCCAAAGAGGCCGCCATGCGCACATACACACTCATACGGAGAGCCTCAAGGCTGCCTCCGGCCCCAAACCAGTGCAAACGACTTAGTGCAAATTGAATTCAGGGGGTGAAGGGGACGGAGCCGGAGGGGCTTGAGTCTCTCAAGCAAAGAAAAAATAGGAAAGACAGAAAAAGGAGAATTCATAGGAAAGGGTGAAGAAGGACAGAGGAGGAGGTGTGGGAGGGCTGTTGCGCCCGAGATGGTGTGGCAGGGGGTGCCATGCAGATGGAATCGTTCCGGTGGGGTGGGAGTGTTGCGGGTGCTGCTTTTGATGGTGTCTGTCGGGTCGGGTTGGTGACATCTTGTTCCTTCAGCTCTACCTGCAGATAGCAACATGATGTATGGGTGGGGGCAGAGTGGGAAGCTTCCAGAAAGGATACCCAAGCTCACCTTTGGAGCCGGTTCCTGAGTGGGCAGTGTAGTGGTTCTGGAATGCAGCATGTGCTTGGTTCAGAGCTAGACAGACTTGAAGAAGTCCCGGGTTCCAAGGCCCAGACATGAGCTGGGTAGCACCATTTCTGTGGGTTGGAAGAGAGTGAGGCCCCCATTGCTTGGCCCCTGCTGTCCCCCACCCTGTGCAAGGCAGGAGGGTCTCTCACCTTGTCATCTTGTGGGATCTAGGGGTCCAGAGAGCAGCAGTTGTGTGAAGACTCCAGTGGCAAAGTAAAGGAACAGACCCGCTTCTCATTACAGCATCCCTGCCATGCCAGCGCGAGTGTCCTAGAAGACAAAAGATGAGGGATAGTGAGAGGATGACTCAGCCAGGTGGCCTGGCCAGGCTAGTGCCTGGTCCCCAGGAAGAGTGACATGCTCACCAGGAAGGCTGGACGGCAACCTTTCTGTCCTCGCCGTCACACCGGACCATGTCATATCCCTCCAACATGTCTGACCTGGCGTCCTGGCCTTCAGCAGCTGGCGGGAACATCCACCCCTACTGGAGACTTGGCTGTGGAGACAACAGAGAAGTTGCTGGTTGGGTGGGAAGGTGTGTGTGGTGGGTGGAGGACAGGTTGGGTAGACACTCACCCTCATCACCAGTGCAAGCACAGAGGCACCGATCACTGCTCCGTCGCTGCCCACGAGGCCCACCGTGGCCTCGGGCTCTGGAGTCCAGTGCCCATGGCTCGCCACCTGGCAACTACTCTTCTCCCCTGCCTGTGCCCAACCTCACTCCTGAAACTCTCATTCTCTCTGCCCCTCCTGCCTCGCCTAGTCTGGCCTCGCCCATGCCCTTGACTCCCGTGGGTGTTGTACTGTCTGCCGTGCCAGGCCCAGGTGCTGAGTGGTGAGGGTGTACAGGGTCTAAAAGTCCACTGTGGGCCCATTCCACGTCAGCTCCTGGGCTGCAGTGCCTCATGGGAACAGTGTGCTTGTAGCTGGGCCTGCTGCAGCCTCCTTGCTGCGTTATCTCTGAGCCCGCCACAAGCAGCCACTGCTCCCTCCTGGTGATGTCCTGCGTGTACTGTGCACTGCCCTTCTTTCCCGCTCTCCGGCCCTCAGGGCTCCAGCACAACCTCAGAAGGCTCTACTGGAGCCACTCCTGTGCCTTCTACTAAATGAATTGCGGTGGGTGTGGTGGCGGCTGGGGACCCCCTCTGTATCCTGTGCCCCATTTCATCCCCATCTGCCTCAGGCCTGGCATGTGATAGATCTCACTGGCAGCCTCTGCCTCTCCTGTCCTGCTCTCTTGAAGTGCTCCTTCTACCTGGGATGGGCCTGTGGCCCCCCAGCCTTGTCCACTCTCGGCTCCCCCCGAGAAGATGTCACCTTTGCTAACTCTCCTGCCTTTGCCCTGCCACACTTCTGGGAGGATAGCCTCTTCCCTCCCTGGCCCTCACTCCCCTAAACCTCTTTCTGGAAGAGGAGAGGGTGAAGCAAGGGCCAGGGATGGAAAGGGGACTCACCTGCCCAGTAGAGTGGTGTCCTCACCTGCCCACTGCTGCCAGCTACACCTCCACTGCCCAGCCCTGAGGCCACACCCTGCCCAGCAGCTCCCCTGGTCCGACCAGCCGCCACGTCCTGTAACCAAAAGTGACCGGGATGAATGTCTGGCTTCCCCTTCCTCTCCGACCCTGGCTCAGGCCCTTCACTCTCAGACTGATGTTGCCCTGCCCCTTGACCGTCCCCGCCACCCTTCCATGCTTCTTCCACTCTATCCAGTTTGCCTGAGCCAGCCCCTCCACCCTCACCACTCTCGCCAGACCCCAGACGGCCAAGGTGCTCCTTGGCCTCTCCAAACTCTCCTCCTGCACCCCATCTTCCCCAGTTTCCCCCGTTACCCCCACCCCCCACCCCCTCCCTCACCCTGCTCTCCCTGGCCCTAGCCAGGGCTTTTTCTAATCGGAGTGGCCCCGCCCAGAATTCCCGCCCCTGCCCCTCCAGCCAATTGGAGCAGGGACCTTTCCTGGGCCCCTGCAGGGCCCCCTCCGCCCCCGACTGTTCCAGCGCACGTCCCTCTCACCCTGCACCCTCCCGGAATTCTACAGGCGAGGCCCCCCAGCCCCTCCTTTGGCACCCCCGGACAGGACCTGGCGCTGTTCCCAAAGTCTCCCACTGGGTCGAGAACTTCTCTCCGCCAGGCTGTTGGTTCCCCGCAGGGGTCACTTGAGTGTGCTGCTGCCTGTCCACTGGTGTTGCACAGGCAATTTGCCCATAGTTGGGGTCCTGGCTGGGTGTCCCCAGGGACTTGGAGGAGACAAAAGCCACTTTCTTCACCCACTGTGGCTGAGATGTCACATTTGCTATAGGGGGCCCTAGAGGACTTGTGGGGAGTACTTGTATGGGATGCTGCTCATGGAGAGTGGGACTTAGGGCTGAGCTGGGCTGTGGGAAGCCCTGGGATCCCACTGGGCTGGGTTCCCCGCTGGCGGGTGCAGTGCCTGCTCCCAGCCCGAGTCTCATCCATCTGGCCACACTTTTTCTAGCCACAGCGGCTTCCACAGGCGGGCTCTCCACAGCTGGCTGCAGCACCCAGGTCCCCTCACCGCTACTTTCCTGGCAGTCTGGAAACAGAACACCGCCAAACTTCATGACTCCAGGACGCACTCTGGTGACCAGTCCTCAGTGACCTTGCAGCTCTGCCCGGCTTCCCGCCTGGGGCACCACATTCCCGAATGGAATAGAGAGCGGAGAGCTAGCTTCCACTGCCTTGGCCACACCAGCCATCCTGTTCCCTGGGTGACCATGTTGGCCTCTCTCTATAGTGGGAGTGTTGTGGCCCCACGGGCCATAGGATTTGCCCACCAAATCTATGGGGGAGAACCATGTGAATGTCCCTAGAACCCGATGGCTGAAGGACCCAACCCCTCTGCTCCCAGTGCTCCACAAAGTTCTGTGTGCCTGCCTACAAAGCACTAATCCCAGCCTTTGTCATGGGCGAACCCCAGCTTTACTGTGCAAAACTCTCAAGATTTTGCTATGGGTGAATACCTAAATTAGGGTGCATGTACATCACCACATTTTGCTGTGAATAGACCCCAGCTTCAGCAGCCTCTGAGCTGTGGTAAGTCTGCGCTGCCGCCCCGCGGCCACTTCCATCTCCACACACACAACTGACTGCGCCATCCTGGGAGGGAGAGCGACTGGTTTCCCAGTGATCCTGATTTTGAAGGGGAAGACTCCAGAAATATTCATCTGCTAGGCAAGGTAGTCCCTGTATTCTCCTTGTTCCTGCCGGGTGCTTGGTGGGAAGGATCCACACCTGATCCTCAAGCTGGACTCTGAGCAGTGCCAGGCATGTGTACACACTGGCCAGTGTGGTGATCCAGGAGCATGGTGGAGTCAGCTCAGCTGGTAGAGCACACTTAACTCAATCATGCCCTTCCTTCACTGATTCCCAGATATGGGTGTCTACAGTGCTCTTCCAGGTGTCAGAGCTGAAGATAGAAAGACTCCACCTTAGAATTGAGAGGCAACAGCTGGCAGCTCTTTAGCATCTCAATCTCTCAATTAGCATCTCAAACCTGAGTTGAATGGAAATGTTAATGCTGGTGCTTGGGGTGGAAGCTCCAAGTGTTCACCTGGGAAGCAGATGTCAGTTGATTGTAGGGCTCAGAATTTGGGGGTTGTCCTCGGTGAAGTCAGCACTCAGTTTTAGTGGCATATGCTGCCATCATGTCTGATACATGGGACTTGAGTCCTACACCATGACACTAAAGTCCTCGGAGGGATACCCGTAGCCACTGGGCTATGGATACGCCAAACCTGAAGGCTTGGAGTGGCTCACACGAGCATCCAATTCCCCAGTGACCCTCGTGAACCACTGCGGCGCGTGGTCTGGGAGACTCGGGACACCGCCACGGGCGAACCCCTAGCCCCGGCAGTCTGCGAGCTGTGATGTGTGTGTCTGTGCTGCCACCTCGCGGCCACTTCCATCTCTATGCCCACAGCTGACTCTATGCCATTCCAGGAGTGAGACAGACTTGCTAGTTTTGGAGCCAGAGATCTAAGGGGAATCCTCCAGAAATGCCCATGTGATAGGCATGGTGTCCCCAGGCACTGTGCCTGCCATGGACCCTGGATGAGGTTTTCTCTCTCAACCAATATCCCTATCATCCAGGAAACGAGGACCCCTCATTGTTCCCCAAGTATTTCCTCACTGCCCCATCCACCTTCAACAGTTCACCCTGGGGTGAATTAGATGGGTGAGCTGGAGTGGCTCCCATGAGCATCCTATCCTCTGACTTTTGTGAACCAAAGCGGCACGTGGTCTGGGTGACCCCAGATGCCGCACGGGCAAACTCTAGCCCCTGCAGCCTTTGAGCTGTGATGTGTGAGTCTGTGCTGCCGCCTCGCGGCCATTTCCATCTCCACGACCACAGCTGACTCTGCACCCATGCCTAGAGTGAAATAGACTTGTTGGTTTTGGAGCCTGAGATCTAAGGGGAAGATTCCAGAAATACCCATGCGCTAGGCAAGGTAGCCCCCAGGCGCTGTGCCTGTCACAGACCCTGAGTGAAAGTTCTCCCTCTAGCCCAGCATCCCTATCATTCAAGAAATGAGGACCCCTTCCCAAGTATTTCTTCTCATCAAGCCCCTCCACCTTCAGCAGTTCACCCTGGGGTGAATCAGATGGGTGAACTGGAGTGGCTCCCATGATCATCCTATCCTCTGATGACCCACGTGAACCTCTGCGGCACGTGGGCTGGGTGACCCGGGATGCCACCACGGGCGAACCACAGCGTGGCAGGATCCGAGCTGTGATATGTGAGTCTGTGCTGCCTCCTCGTGGCCACTTCCATCTCCACACTCAGACGATTCTGCCATCGTGGGAGTGAGATAGATATGCTCTTTGTAGAGTCCAAGATCTAAGGGGAAGACTCCAGAAATACTTGTGCCTTCCATTCCACTGGTTCCCAGGATTCTTGTTTTTGCTGGAGGCCCTGTGGGAAAGGTCTAGATGCTAGACTCTAGAGCAGCGGTTCTCAACCTGTGGGTCGCGACCCCTTTGTAACAATCAAAATACATCGCGGCATTAGGAAGGTTGAGAACCACTGCTCTAGAGAATGGGCTTGAGTCTTTTGTAGTCCCAGTCTTAACTCCCCCAGGACATGGGATCTCTCATTTCTGAAGTCTCGGCTTTCGTGTCCCACCTTCAATTCACGTTGCAGCATGAGACCTGAGCCTAGCAGTATGTGGGCTGCAACAGAGCCAAGGTGGTCTAGTGGCAAATGCATTTTCCGGCACATATGAGCACATCTGGCAGGTGTATAGATTCCAGAGCACCTTTCAGGGGATAGGACCCAGCCTGCAGAACACACTGACCCTGTCATGCTCTTCCTTCACTGATTCCTAGGCATGGTGTCTGTTGCGCTCTTACAGGTGTCAAAGCTGAAGAAGGAAGACTGACTCCACCTTAGAACTGAGAGGCAACAGCTGGCAGCTCTTTAGCATCTCAATCTCTCAATTAGCATCTCAAACCTGAGTTGAATGGAAATGTTAATGCTGGTGCTTGGGG